GCTTCACATGTCGATATCCCTTTCCGGGTTCGTGGGTCCAGCATGTTTTTTTTGTTCGCAGTGAGTTGTCAATTCCACTGCTCGCGCAAACATCCCACCCACCCACCCGCAACTTGGTTTGCTAAACCCATGCGACGGCGATTGCGATGAGTGCTTGGTGTTGGCTGGTGCATCTCTGCGGCCTCGCTAGCCCGCGCATGCTCGCTCGCGAAGCGGCCAGCTAGTGTGGCGCGACCGACGCGGCCGCGGTGGCCCTTTTGGGCCGTGTAGGGCCCATCTTGGGAGTCTGTTGGGCCGTCTCGGGGCGATCTTGAAGGTCTCTTGGGCAGTGTTGGACGCGCTGGGCCTCGAAACGTCGTATATGGGCAATTGTACGTTTTCTGAAGGGAGTGGGGCACTTTTTGCTTGTTGAGGCTTTCTTGGAGAGCCTCTTGAGGCTCTCTTGGGGCTTTTTGGCGTCTTGGGCCGTCTGGCGGCGACCGAGGTCCCCTCGCACCGTCTGGAGCACGTTACGGGGCTCTCTTGGAGCGTTCCTGGGGCGCTCGGGAAAGCCTGTAAGGCAGTGCCGAGGAGGAACACCATCTCTGGGCCTCACCTTGCTGGGACCTGTCCGGGTGGGTACTTTTCGTTCGAGGGCCCCCAGGGGCCGCCCCACGCGGGCGAATTAGAAAATTGTAAACCAGTTGCCGGAGTTCTTAGCACGCCTCTGGCCCGTTGGGCTGGCGAAGTTATGCAGTATGAAAGAGCAAGTTTTGTGGACGTTTGAGCCGGTGGTGGGGGTTCGAACCGGGGGGGCGCCCCCCTTGAATTGCAATGGGCCCCCCTCCCTCAAGGGCAGGGGTTGGGGGGTTCGAGCTGGGGGGGCCGCCTCCCCCTCCAATTAGATGCGGGGGGGGGTTCGAGACGGCCCCTCACTCCCCCTGGAATTGTAAGAGGGGGGAGTCGAACCAGCCCCCCACCCTACCCCCCGCCGCAACCGACGACGGTGAGCGCCTGCGCCGTCGCTGGCGCAGTCGCCGGCGCCGTCGGGCAGCGACGACGACGACGACGACGGCGACGGCGACGGCGACGGCGACGGCGACGACGACGGCGACGACGACGGCGACGGCGACGGCGACGGCGACGGCGACGGCGACGGCGACGGCGACGGCGACTACGACGACCACGACGACGATGACGACGACCACAACGACAGCAACGACGACGAAGATGCTGCCCGCCGCCGCGTCTGCGGGGCCCTTCCCGCCGGGGCCCGCTTGGCGCCGCTGCCCGCTGCTCCCCGCTGGTGCCCGCTGCCCGCCGACCCCCGCCACTGCCCCACGGGGGAGCCGGCGTCCTCCCCCGCTGGTTGCCTTCTGGCTCTCCCAGGGCGTCCCTGGGTGCCTCACTGGGCCCAGCGTTGGTGCACTGTGCCAGGCGTGCGACTCTGAACGGCCGTGTGGCTCGTCGCCCCGCCCGCGTGCGTCCGAAGATGGTGTCCGTCCGTCCGTCCGTCTGTCTGTGTCCGTGTCCGTGTCCGTGTCCGTTTCTGTGTCTGCGTCTGTGTCTGTGTCTGTGTCTGTGTCTGTGTCTGTGTCCGTGTCTGTGTCCGTGTCCGTGTCCGTGTCCGTGTCCGTCTGTCTGTGTCTGTGTCTGTGTCCGTGTCCGTGTCTGTGTCTGTGTCTGTGTCCGTGTCCGTGTCTGTGTTTGTGTCTGTGTCTGCGTCTGCGTCTGTGTCTGCGTCCGTGTCTGCGTCTGTGTCCGTGTCTGTCTGTGTCTGTCTTTTGCCCGAGTTCGGCTGGCCGCCTCCTCCAGCGCACGATCCATCACGCGCCGCACCTGCCCCGCGCGCCAGGAGCGCGCGACAAGGGGGGGGGGGCTGGGTGGGCTAGGGGCAACGACAGGGTGGGACTGGCCCAGGGGCGGGGCATCGACCCCCCATCCTGCCCACTCGTCGCGAAAGCGGTGCCTCGGCGCCGCAGCCTGCCCAGTGAGCGTGCTGTCTCGCATACGTTGACTTTCGGCCGACCCCATCGGCGATGTATTGCCGATTCATGGTCACTGTTCTCGAGGCCTCGTGGATTCGATCCGAGTAGATGGGGTCGGAGGATCGCGCCGCATCGCCGATGCATCGCCTATGCGGCTCGATGTGGAGCCCGATTTCCTCCACGCGGCGGTCGCCGATGCATTCTCGATGTCTCGCCGATGTATCGGCGATGCGAGGCGATCTCCCGACCCCATCTACTCGGACCCCATCTAGGAGTCCTCTAGGACCCGAGGCCTCCCAACGTCTTCCAGAGATCTGAGATGCTCGGACAAATCTGGGTGGCATTTTTTTTTTGTTGCTACTTTCTACTTCTGGGAGCTCTCGATGGGCCCCGGGACCGTCAGAGAACGACTCGAAGCCGGCCTTAGGGAGGTTGAACTGTCCAGACCTCCAGGGGCCCGCTCCTTGGAAAACTGAGCGGACTTCAGGGAAGCTGTGCCCCCCCGGGAAGCTGTGTCCCCCCCCCCCGGAGCCTGAGCCAGTCCCCCCCTCTCGTCCCCCCTCAAGGGGGCCCCAGCCAGCGGCTGTATGAAGGGGCCAGGCCGGTGCCGCGCCCGCACCTCCGCTCGTCGGGCGCCCTTTTTTTGTGCCGTGCTGTGCCGGGGGGAGAGGCTCGGCCACGCGCAGAGGGGGGGGGCACGGGGAGGGGGGAGGCTTCTTAGAAGCGCCCCTGCTCCTTAGAGGGCGCGGGTCTTGCCTGGAGATGTGGGGCCCGCGCCTTCTGAGGAGCGGCCTCCTGACGAGCCTTCCCCCCTCCCCCTGCTCCCCTTGTGCGCGCCGCCTAAGAGATGCAGCCACTGCGCTGCGATGGAGGACAACTTTGAGCTCGGGAGGGGCTCTGGATTTCGGGCCGTGCCTCATATTTGGGTCGAGAGCCAATTCGTGGCCGAGGCTCGCCGTGGCCAGGCAATCCGCTTCGTCTCTTATTCTGCGTGCCCGTGCGGATGAGTAGGGAGGGAGGCGGAGGGGAGGAGGATCCGCCCAGTGCGGATGAGTAGGAAGGGAGGCGGAGGGGAGGAGGATCCGCCCACAGTGACCGTGGTTGGTTTCAAGAGAGGCCTGCTGCCTCGCCTTGCCCGTCCTCGAGGGCTTGCCGCGGAGCTCCAGTGCGCGACATCGCATGCGGCCTGCCCCTCTGGAGGTGTTTGACTGTGTGTGCCTGTGTGTGTGTGTGTCTGTATGCGTGTGTGTGTGTGTGTGTGTGTGTGTGTGTGTGTGTGTGTGCGTGTGGGTGTGGGTGATCTAGTGTGCGTGTCGGAGACCTGCGGGCATCTCGCTGCCGCGTTGGTTCTTGGGCCCCCCTTTTCGAAATCTGCGCAGGCATCCTTGTGCACTGGCAGCGGATTCCCCTGTTCCAGGGGAGCGCTGCGCAGGAGGCATGCTCACGGCGGGACGGCCTCACCCCCGTGGCCGTCTCGGCTCTCCGTAGTTCAGGAGGGGCACGAAGAGCACACAGGCACAAAGCATCGCCGATTCCTGGGAACATGTGGGAAACTATGGGAGGTAGGTGGGGGGGAAGACGAACGTCCAGAACATTTTGGAACATATTGGGAATCCTGGGATCTGTTTCTAGTATCTGTGTGTCCCTGGGCGCCTTCAGTAATCGCAGGAACAGCGAGGAGTTGGCACAGGCGGAGGCGAAGAGCGGCAACTTCATGTGTGGTGGTAGTTCGACGACTTTGCACGAGTGGGAGTTCAACATGGCGATGCGCAACAGCGCAGCTCGACAGTCGAAACCGATAGTAAGGATGGACGGCTTTCCCAATGGTACCCTTGCATCCTTGCCTCTTCGGTGCATCCTTAATCACTCTCGATGGCCCGCATCTTTCGAAGAGCTTCGACATGGCCTTCCAAGGCCCTTGCATTCGCGCATCCTTACTATCAGTTTTGTAGCTCCGACCAGTTCAGCAGGTATTGTCCGCAGCCGCAAATCAGACTGTTGATGGCCTCAGAGGCGACGCGTTCGATATGGCCACGGATATCCGCAGACACGAGTTTTTGGAACCAAATGTATCAGCCAACTGAGAATTACAGACGATTCGCGCATCACTCTTCCCTAGCGAGGCTCAGGAAACCAATGTTCTATTCCGTCTTGGACCGAGACAAATGGACCGATGACGCGACAGAGCGGCGAAGACATGTGCCTGTGCTTGAAGGGGTTGGCCCTCTGTCGCCAGGCCCCCTCTGATTGTATGCATGGCTATGCTTGTTCGGTTTGTTAGTTTGCCGGCCCGTCGGCTGGCTGTCTCGCAACTCCGCTGATTGTCCTGTTGTCTCAATGTGTGGTGGACAGTTGGTTTTGGTTTGCTCGTGATCAATTTTCACGGGTGTGACACAGTGCGCGCGTCGGACATTTACGCGCGTCATTCTGTGTTGTTCTGCTTTCATGAAGCCCCTTAGGCTATTGACGCTAACCAAGCCATTATTCAAGAGGCTTACCCCATTCCGCCGACCCCCAGAAGAGGGATGAAGTCCACGTGTGAGGCCTTGGGGCCTTTTGGGGAGCCTCTGTGGGCTTCCTTGTTGGCCTCTTCGGGGCCTCTTCGGGCCTGCTGGGCGTTTCGTGTGGCGTGGCAGGAACACATCACCGGGGACAAACGAAAGCACCATTGCCAGAAGGGGAGTAGGGTGGTGTGGAAGGACGGCGTAGAGAAATGTTGCACGGCGAGATTTTAGGACGCGTTTGGATGTTCGGGCCCATGTTGCGAGCGGCTACCTCGGAGCGCTTTTCCTGAGCGCGGCCGCAATTTCGCTTTCATCGCTCGGCAAGGGAGGAGGAGGAGGAGGAGGAGGAGGAGGAGGAGGAGGAGGAGGAGGAGGAGGAGGAGGAGGAGGAGGAGGAGGAGGAGGAGGAGGAGGAGGAGGACGACGAGGGGATCCGTAGCCATTTTGGTTCAAGTGAGCCGGCTCACGGGCGCCCTCCGCGCGCGGCGCGCGGCCAGTGGCATTCTCGCATGTACCCTCCGGGCGCGCCATGGTCAGCGAGCCGCTCGCGATCGTCGGCGCGGGCGCTCCGGAGGCAGAAGCAGGCGGAGCGTGGGCTCACCCGGAGCGCGGCGCTGGCCGCGCGGTGCAAGGCATTCCGCGCTTCGCTGGCGGCGCACTGGGAGCTCTCGGACGCCCTCGGCGGCCATGAGGCTTCCATCGCCGACGCCATTCGAGCCGCGGGCCTCGTCGGCATGGACGCTGCGGGCGCCTGGTCGGCCTGCGCGCTGGGCAACTGGTGTAGGCATGCCCCGCCCCTTGGCGCTGTGGCGCTTAGGCGGTCCGAGCCCGCCCCTGCCCGCCGTGTCGCTGAGCTGGAGGTGGAGCTCGAGGCAGCGGCAAGTTGCGCGGCCGGGCTGCGCATGGAGGCGCCCCCGTTCTGGCCGAGGCGGCCCCCCGGCTCCTGGGCTGAATCCGCACGGTCGGCGGCGGCCCTCCTCATGGCCCTCGGCGTGTCCCACGTGGCCTCGGAGTGCGAGCTCGCCGAGATGACGTTGACGGAGTACGACGACGTAGACGAGTTGCCCGAAGGCGTGGAGAAGATGATAGAGTCCAAGGAGGGCGGGATGCAGGCGGACGGCGACGGTGCCACTCCTCCTGGTCTACCTCCTTGTGGTCATCCTGAGTTCGACGTAAAGTTGAACGAGATGGAGTCCGTGGAGGCCGTCAAGGTGCAGGTGGCTGGCGCTGGTGCTCTTCTTCCTGCTCAGTTTTCTGGCGGCGATTGCGACGGCGCCCGCTGCGCGCTGGATGGTCGCGATGGTGGTGTACCCGTACCTGTTCCTTCTCCAGATGCCGCTGTCGGCGCTCACACCCCCGAGGTTGCAGTTGTGTCGAACATGCAGCTCGATACCCATCCCGAGGACCTCGACGAGTTCCCCGACGGTCTGCGGTCGGGCGGCGAGATGCAGTCTGGGTTGGAGTCTGCGGTCGTCGGCGAGATGCAGGCTGCAGGCACTAGCGTGCCCGTGAGCGTCATCGAGGCACCGAAAGTTTCTGTTCGGGTCTCGAGTTGCGCTTGGTGGATCGCACGTGATCGCATCGCTCGTGAATGGCTTCGCAAAGGTCCTGCTGCACATGACGATACACCTTGCGATGGCATTGGCAATCACGAGAAGTCCAAGGGCGGCCTGATCGCAAGTTCCCATAGCGTCGCGAACGACACGGGGGAGCTGACGGACGAGCAGGACAGCAGGTGCTTCTCAGTGCACCCAAGAGTGGCCCGACCAGATTCCCAATCGCAAGGACAGGTTCGGCCAGATGGTGAGATTAGTATTCGACCACATGCCGAACCTCGGAAAGTGAACCGCGGTTCTTCCGACGAGTGCGCTGATTGCGCTCGCTCTCGGCGCTTCGGCATCGGCAACCATCCGAAGCTGTGCCAGGCTTGCGCTCGACTGCGCCGATTCGGGTGATCCTCTCTTCCACCCCATTCCCATCCCGCTATCTCTCCCATGGCCCCTTTCCCATTTGCTTGCCTACCAGGGGCACGCAGTTTATAGGAGAGTGCTTGGGTGTTGGGTGGGGGATATGAGCAGCGAGCGGGGGGAGGATAATGACGAGGTGAATGTAGCAGTGCGAAGCTCGCACGCACATCCCAGAGCGAGCACCCTAGGTGGGTTTGCGCCGCTGCCATTTTCAGCGCAGGCGCAGACAGCGAGCCAGGCAGCGAAGCAGCAGATTCGGAGGAGGGGAGCTTGGCGGCTAACGACTAGGCCGCTCCGAAGGGGTCCCAGTGGTCCCTCACCTCCCCTCGCTCCTACACCTCCGTATCCATCGCCCCAACCTCTGTTGCCTTCTAGGTGCATGCTGCTGAACCCAGCAGGCGAAAATAGACGTCAGAGCTCGGAGGGTGGGGTCCTAGCACTTTTCGGGAGGGAGGAGGATGCTCGAGGATATAATTTCGACATTTTGTCGTAACGGCGCTGGGTCTCGTAGTGTGGAGAGGTGGCCAGCTACCTCATAGGCCCAGCGCGGCGCCTCCCAACTTAATCCCTTCCTTATCTCCCCCCTCTCTCCCCCAATTCGCCCTCCACCGCGTTCTCCCTGCTGGGAGCTGGAGGTGGAGTAACGACGACGCCAATGACGATATGGGGACGTGACGAGGGGGAGTGGAGGTGGCACATGCTCATAGGATGTGCTTTAATCTTGATGCCTGGCGGAACTTATCCCAGGCATGCCCCTAAACAGCGAAGCTTGGGTCCTCTGTTTAATTTCCGCTTTCATATCTATCTGTAGCTGTTGGGTATCTTCGCTGTTTAGGTCCAGCCTCCCTCAAGCCAGGGTGCAAAAGAGCTGAACCAAGCTCAGCACCTGCCTTCTAGCGCAGGTATTCACCTGTGTGTGTGTGTGTGTGTGTGTGTGTGTGTGTGTGTGTGTGTGTGTGTGTGTGTGTGTGTGTGTGTGTGTGTGTGTGTGTGTGTGTGTGTGTGTGTGTGTGTGTGTGTGTGTGTGTGTGTGTGTGTGTGTGTGGGGGTGTGGAGGGGGGGGGGGGGGGGGGGGCGGTGAGGTGGGCGCGGGGGGGGGGGGGGGGGGGGGGGGGGGGGGGGGGGGGGGGGGACCATGCCCGCCCTAAGACTCGAATCAGTCACGCTCTAGCAGCTTACAACAGAGAGCGTCTCCTTCACTTTTCGGGGCATGCGTGCTGCACGACATGTCCCTCTTTGGGGAGAACCCTGAAAACCCTGAGGAGGACGAGAGGCGGAGGAGGAGGAGAGGAGGAGGCGGTGGAGAGGAGTAGGAAGAGGAGGGGAAGGAGGAGGAGGAGGAGGAGGAGGAGGTGGAGGAGGAAGGATGAGGAGGAGGAGGAGGAAGTAGGAAGGCAGGAGTGAGGAGAGGAGGAGGAGGAGAGTAGAGGAGGAGGAGGAGGAGGAGGGAGGAGGAGGAGGAGAGGAGGAGAAGAGAGGAGGGAGGAGGAGAGGATGAGGAGAGGAGGAGGAGGAGGAGAGGAGAGGAGGGAGGAGGAGGAGGAGGAGGAGAGGAGGAGGAGGAGGAGAGTGGAAGGAGGAGGAGGAGGAGGGGAGAGGGGAGGAGGAGGAGGAGGAGAGGAAGGAGGAGAAGGTGGAGGAGGGGAATGGGGGAGGAGGGAGGGGGGGGGGGAGGAGGAGGAGAAGGAGGAGAGGAGAGAGGAGGAGGAATGAGGAGGAGAGGAGGAGGAGGAGGGAGGAGGAGGAGGAGAGCAGGAGAGAGGAGGAGGAGGAGAGAGGAGGAGGAGAGGAGGGAGGAGGAGGGGATGGGAGGAGGAGGAGGAAGAAAAGAGAGGAGGGATAAAGGAGGAGAGGAGGAGGAAGGAGGAGGAGAGGAGAGGAAGAGGAGGAGGAGGGAGAGGGGAGGGAGGAGGAAGGGGGAGGGAGGAGGAGGGAGGAGGAAGGAGGGAGGAGAGGAGGAATGAGGAGGAGGGGAGGAAGGAAGGAAGGAGGAGGAGAGGAGGAGAGGAGAGGTGGAGGAGGAGGAGGAGGAGGAGGAGGAGGATGAGGAGGAGGAGGTCCGTAGCCATTTTGGCTCAAGTCCGTAGCGGTTGCTCAAGGATTTGAGGTTGGCAGGGGGGATTGCGCGGCCCCCGTCCGCTTTCCCTGGCGTTCGCCCGCCAGGTTCATTTCACATCACGTTCAGGCTATTGAATTGTCACTTTTCCTGCCCACATCCTCGATGGCTCCTACTTCCTCTCGTTTCACGTATAACCCGTGGGTGCAAGCATCGGAGGGTGATGACGGTGAAGGGGAGTGGCAGGTCAAGGGCAGTGGCAAGTGGCACAACAACTACAAGTCGCCCAGCAAGTGCCCAGGGTGTGGGTGTCGCAAGAACGCTCCCTCGGCGAAGTGGTGCAAAAACTGTCATGGCCCGCTTCCCCAAGTTCCAGTTACTCCTGATCGCTCAGGCCCTCGTGCTCAGTCTTACTGGTCGAGATCGCCTGGGTGGTTTGGCACTGCCTCGGGGTGCAAAGGAGGGGCTGCAGGCAAGGGCTACGGCAAGGGTAAAGGCAAGGGTTTCAACGATACATTTCGGTTCGATTGGCATGGTTCGTCCCCAGGAGGTCAGCTGCAGCCAGCAGGCAAGGGGGGGAGTGCCCCGCCGCTCCCCGCTGGACCCGTTCCTGCTCTTTCTGTCGAAGAGGCTAAGCAGATGGCCTCCCTGTCGTACAAGGCGGGAGATTCTACGAGGGGTAATTACTATGCCGATGTGGCGGCCAGCCTGGAGGCTGCCAGCAAACCCACGGAGATCAATGTTCATCAGCTGGTTCAACAGCAGCATGCAGCAGTCCGCCGCGTGGAGAAGCAGCTCGAGGATCAGCTCACCCGCTTGCTCAAATGGAAGCAGGAGGCCGCAGAGCTGGAGGAGCTGGTTCGCCAGTCGCGGGACCAGCTTTGCAAGGCGGATGGGGAGTGCAAAGCAGCAGTGGAACGGCTTCGTGACTGCAGCGGCGCAGGGGCGACGGGTGCAGGCGCGGCGACTGCGCCGTGCAGCGCCCCAGCCATCCCGCTGCGGGATTTCATGGAGGGCAAGTTCGATCTCACGAGTATCATCAAGTTTGACATCATGGAGGAGTTCGAACGCAGCGAGTACGATGTCACTGAGGGGGATCGCAAGGAGTATCAGACGAGGCTGGAGAAGTTGCAGATGGGTGTGCAGGACCTGTCCAAGTCTCTTTTCGAGCAGCTCACCTCCACGGCTGCGGAGGTCAAGGCAGCTCATCTGGCTCACACATCGAGGCTTCAGCGCAAGCGGCGCAAGGGAGACGATGGCGAAGGACTTTTTGCTCAGGGCGCTGTCGACGCAGGTCGTGGCGCCGCCGCAGGGGGGGGAGAAGCTGCTGCGCCTTCTGGGCCAGGCGCCGCATCTCAGCCAGCTGCGAGGCCCGACGCAGCCGCCGCAGCCACCGACATCCGAGCTCGGGTTGACCAGCATTTGTCAGGGGTGCCCCCCCCTCGCCTGAGGGGGGGGTGGCCTAGTGGTTTGGTTCGTGGCGCTCCGAGCTCGGATGACTGGTTCCATTTTTGTAATTTTTTGGCGGATCGGGTTTCATCTATTGGCTCTTCAGTCCAGAAGTCTGGCTTGCGCTTGGCGCGCAAGATGCACTCTATGTCTCAAGGATCAGAGTTTTTTTCCTGCTCCAATTTTTCCTCGGGACCCTCATCCTGTGCCCCCAGGAGACCGTGAAATCCCTGATCCTCGTCCCTCCCCTCTCCCTGGTCTGGCGGATCAGACGTTGAGCGATGGTTCCGCAGCCACGGCTGCGGTCGCACGCTTGCCGCAATCAGATTTTTTTGCTGGAGAAAGTACGGTCAGGGCCTCCAGTCGGGGTGGGGCTATTGACTGCCAGGCCACAGAGTTGCGGGCTCGACGAAGGCCTGCTGGCGTCCACCGTGAACGCCAACAGCTGGGGTACCTTGAAAGGCTACCTTATGAGCAGTGCCTCGCATATCGTTATCGCTCAGGAGCATCGCCTGCGGGGGGGCGACGATATCGCCACGGCCTCGAAAGGGGCCAAGTATCTGGGATGGAAATCGCTCTGGGCCCCAGGTATTGTTGGCGAAGGTGGGGGCACCTCCTCTGGGGTCGGCGTCTTCGTGCGTGACGCGCTCGGCATGTAGATGCACCAGGACAGGGCCGTGCTGGCCGAGGGCCGCGCGATATGTGCCATGGTGCACGTGCCAGGGTGCGCCACCTTCTGCGTCCTCTCCCTCTACCTCTGCCACAGCGAAGGTCTGTCAGAGGCCAACTTGTCAATCTTAAATTCTGTGGGGGGGGTTCGTAAGGGGGTTAGCGTGTGAGTTCATCATAGGGGCCGACTGGAATTTCCCCCCAGAGACCTTGGCTGCTTCGGGCTTCCAGGCGAAGACCAATGGGGTGATTGTCAGTTCCCAAGGGCATGCCCATTTCCCTAGCGTTGCCCCCCCCCGAACGCTTTGATTTTTCGGTGTGTCCCATGCCCTTTCCCTCGGTCTCAAGCAGATCTACGTGCAAGGGGACTCGCCCATCCACCCTCGCAGGCCTGTGTTTTTGCGCTTCCATGCGTCTGTGGGTGATCTCAAGGCTCTCGCCTTCCGAAGACCGCCTGACCTTCCTGTGGTGCCGTCGGTTGGCCCGCAGCCTGAGCCTGGGTCGTGGGAGGTCCCTCTTGGGTTGGCGCGTGAGGCCCATCGGGCTGTGCAGGAGGGGGATGGTGATCGTGCTCGTGCTTTGCTGGCCCCTGGGTACCGTGCGTGGGCCAACGCGGCCGAGCGTGACCTCAGCGCTATCTTGGGGGTGAAGGTTCCCAAGGGAGCCAGAGCGAAGCGGCCGCATATGTTCTGGAAAGGCATTTT